TCCTTTGGATCTTGCAATCATGACCACAGGAAAATGTTTAACACTAATAATACTCTTATAACTTAATAAGGGCTTTAATCTCCTCATCAACTGTACTTTGTTATCATTCATAATTATTGTCTCTGATAATTAATAATATGCTAATCTTACACATTAGTTGTCTCTTTTTAAAATTTAATGGCTTACTACTCAGCCACTCAGGATATAACCCAATATTGCATATCATGGGGTATTGGGGTCTTTCTAGGTATGATTGCTTACTCATTAATTATTTCACACTAATATATACTATTCAATGTAACGTTTTGCATGTTTTTCATTATGAATAAGCAAATAGAAATTAAAGTTAATATTGGCCCTGCTTGGTTGCTGATTAATATAGTTGGTTGTAGTAGCTGATTTGACTAGCTGATTGTAAATAGCGAATTGTGTAAAAGTGTTTGGTAAATAACTGTTAATTACTTAATTTGTTAATCGTTTTAGTATATTTAAAATAGATGAAAAGCTAATTCTTTAAGAAGCTCAAATGAACTTTTAGTAAAAGAGTTTTTTGAGACAAAAAAACTCTTTTAATTTTAATAAGCTATTTACCAAACGCCCAAATTAGTTTTTTAAGGGTCTGCTCCGATTGACTGAACTGAATTGAATTGAACTGAACTTATTAAAGCTGAACTGAATTGAACTGAACTTATTAGAGCTGAACTGGATTAAACTGAATATTTTATGAGAGAAGGAAATTAAGAACTGAAATGAACTGAATTGAATATTTTATGAGGGAAGGAAATTAAGAACTAAACTGAACTGAAAATAATCTGAAGAGAACAGACTTTAAATAGGCAGACATCTAATAGGGCACAATAATTAAGCTAAAAGCGTAAGCTCTCCAAAAAGCTCTTTACCAAACAAGACCATTGTAAAACGATATATTGAGACACAAAAAGTCTTATATGTGGCTGGCCACACCATGTGGCCAATTACTATAGAGGTTACTTGATTGAGACAATTAAACAAGATCCTATATAAGTATGTTTTATCTCATACATATATTGAAATAGTTTTAAAATACATTATCATATATTAGTATCTATAAAATTACAAATAAGACTATTATTAAAATAGATACAGAACGCGTACTAGTATCAATATATACTAGTACTACACAATATTAGATACTAATTGATATAGAAGTTTTTAATTGTGCTTTACACAAAGTTTTAAGTTGAAGCCTTACTAGTTACTATTCAAATGTGGTTAGATTGAGAAAAATCAAAGCTAAGTGATCGTTAAATTAAAGTAAGCTTATATGATTAGAGTTAGGCTAAATGTTAACATATAAATGTCATTATAAAATCCTAAGTTTTATTTGATACAGAACACTCCTATAAATTGAGGTTGCTTTAATTAGTTGGTTTAATTTTCAGCTACAAGTTCATAATCTTTGGCAGTTATTCAATAAATAGAAAGTTACCAAATGTTTGCATTATTATATTATCTTGAAAGTGATTGACCGCGTAACAAGTAAGTACTACGTACTAATAGTGATTAACAATGAAGATTTGATGAACTAATGTTTCTTTTACAGAGTATAATTAATTTTTTTGAAGCTGACACTTTAACTCTCTTTTTATTTTTTGGCGGGTTGTGCCAAACTTAATTTCAATAATCACTTCACACAAAAATTAGTTGTACCCCGTATTTTCCCTAGTCCAAAATGTTTAAAGAACGTCATGGGATATTGCATGTGAAGGATATACAATAGTTAAATGCGGAGTATGAAGTATTATACATAAGACCTCATCACAAGATTGCCTTTGCTTTAGGGTCTGTTTACTTTACCTTAATTTCAATTCAGTTTAATATAATTTAGTTTAGTTCAATTTAGATATTAATTTCTTTTTCTCATAAAATATTCATTTCAGCTCTATTCAGTTCAGTTCAGTTCAGTTCAGCCCCAATAAGTGATCAGTTCCTAATTTTCTTCTCTCGTAAAATATTCATTTCAACTCTACAGTTCAGTTTAGCTCCAATTAGTTCAGTTTAGTTCAGCTCAGTTCAATAAATGTGAACATGTCCTTTGTTATACGTACGAATGTACGATACTATTATATATATATATATACCCCTAAAAAATGAAGGAAGAAGAAGAAGTAAATGGAATACAATTATGACCTCTTTATTTCATATTATTCTAACTTATTTATCTTGTTTCAAATAAAATAAGTTAGAAAATTAATTTAGACAAAAAAAAAGGTTACGTAGTACTCCCTCTGTTTTTAAATACTTGCTCCACTTTCTTTTTGCGGCCGTTTTTAAATACTTGCTCCATTTCCTTATTTAGAAAGCTTTTATAATTTTTAATTCATTTTTCTCAACTAGTGGTACCCAATTTTATTACCTTTTAGACTCTCTCTCCTCTAATTTATGTTCCACTAATCTCACTTCCTCTATATTTTATTACTTTCTCCAATTTTTTCTAAAACTCCGCGCATAGAGAAATGGAGCAAGTATTTAAAAGCGGAGGGAGTAATTATTTAAGTAGCATCGTTTATCTTACCAACCCTGGCCATTATAAAATAATGATATACGTAGTTCAAGAAAGCTGATCAAATATGCATTATTTCCCAACCAAAAGTAGTTAGCATAATTTTTTTGGCTTAATCCATATTCTAGTAATGATTCCTAAATTAGACAATACAACATTAGATTAATAATTTCATGGGACCCTTGCGTACTCATTGTCTCATTGAGGCCCCAAGCTCAACTCTTTAATTTTTCTTTTTGTAATTATTTATATAATGTTTGTGTTAGGCTGCAAATGTGAAGCATATATAGTTCTTTAAGTTAGTTTTAAGCTATCATGAATGACAGAGAAAAATCTAAATAAACAAATTAAATATATTTGCATTCTAATTATTGGTTTGTGGCCTGGGTTGACTTTTCATATTTTCATATATATATCATGCAATTTGGAAAATGATATTTTGAGTTGGTGAAGGATTATATATCACATATCATATTGAAAATGAAATGCAACTGGATTTGATTTTATTGTTTATTTGTTAATTATTTTATTTTATTTGTAATGCATAACAATTAAATTGTCTCATTGTCATGTATTGCTTTTGGAGGCAGTAGGTATTTTCATGATTGAAAATGATTGATCTAGATAAAGCATGCAATTATGGAATGGACCTTCTTTGAATCATAACAAACACTTCTATGGAGTATATATCTTTTCTAAAAGCATATAATAGGTACACCCCCATTCGCCCTATATGGTATATGTGTATCATGTATATGACTATTTAATTCGAGATAAAAAAAAACATTTTTTAACAACGTAACTCAAGGTATAAAAGGTTCAATTTCCACTAAAAATGTTTTGAAAAAAGAGATCTTCATATCATATCCCACTCTCATAGTGTCTAGCAGTCTAGCCAACTATGTAGGGTTTAGTTAATCCGTGAGAGTTTACGATTTGATGGGACCTTTATCTTACTCTCTTCATTTTTAAAAACTTGTCCCACTTTTCATTTATAGTCGTTTTTAATTACTTGCTCCATTTCCTTATTTCGAATGGTTTAACAATATTTTATTTATTTCTCTTAACAAGTGGACACTACATAAATCATAGATATTTTGTTAATTTCATATTCTCACTCCTACAATTCTCACAACTACTTTTTCCTTTTATAATTATTTAGTTTTCCACTAACCCCACTAGCTACCTTTATATTATATTATTTCTCCTAAAACTCTGGCACTTTGCGCATGAAGATATGGAGCAAGTAATTAAAAACATAGGAGAGCCTACCCAAAAAATTTTGATCTGATATTGGTAAAGGGAGGATTAATGACCCCCTTTTTTTTTTTCTCTTGTTACAATATAAAGGAGTTAGCTTTTATTTATTTCAGGGTAACTTTTGATCATTTTATAGCAACTTACAACGAGTGCAAGATTTTTAACTATTCTAATATAAATAAAAGTTATCATGATACAAACAAAAGTTTTATATGATTTATTTTAAATTAACTCTCCATAAATAAATAAAAATCAAATTTAAGTGAGCAAAAGTAACTATCAGGTGTAAAAGATTAAAAGTTATCCTATATTAAAGGCTATCCTAAAACATTTTAATGTACATTAATATTATTATTAATTGAGTGTACACAAAAAATTTGATAAAATATTACAAAATACTGGGTATACACAAAGGCTTATATGTGGCTGACCACGGTGCGATCATTCATAATGAGGGTTACTTTGTTAGTATTATAGGGGTTACTTGTTCACTTTTACAAGGGTTATTTTGTCCGTATAATAGGGATTACTTAGGGGTTACTTGGTCAGTATTACAAGGGGTTACCGGGTCAATGTTACAGGGGTTACTTTGTTCTTTAATAAGTGGCCACATGGTGTGGTCAGCCACACACTAGACGCACTGCTTCGTATAAGTTTAGATAATACTCTGTATAATTTAAGTCTAGATTTTAAAATTTCTAACAAAATGCACCAATACCACTCCTATGCTTTTAAGTTTTAACGATGTTTTTTTATTTTTAATTTTTTTAAGGGATTTTAACGATGGTTTTGTTAGCAACAAAATGAAAATGTTAAATTCTAATTAGTTTGCAAGGTTCGAATAATAGTGGTGTGACGCATCCGAATGGTAGCCACCTAATTTGCTAGTTTTACATAATTTTTGTGGCCGAAGTTACTTATTCATGGATTATTCAGTCGCTCAAGAGTAACTCAATCGGTCAAGGGTTACTTGGTCGGTCATGGGTTACTCGATCGATAAGAAGTTGATGATCAATGTTTTGGTGTGTATTAGCAGACCATACGGTGTGGCTAGCCACACTGTAAATGGGCTAAAAGCTATATTATGGCTTGTATGAGCGGACAAGTAAATTTTTCAGCAGGATGCCCACGAGGACGCCATTTGATGTCTCAAATATATTTATCGTGGAGCAGAAGCAACATACTCATCACAACTATATAGGAGAGGCTCAGTGAGGCATGATCTACTGTCATTTCTAGTTCTAAGGAAACCTAATCATAGGAAAAACGTGAAATTTTGTATGAATTACCAGATCTGGAGACTAACTATGAATAACTGATGCCTATACTGAAAGTGACACAGCACACAATTGCTCAAAACGAAATTTGTAATTATACTGAACTCAATCTATTTTTACTGAGCAGTGCGCCGGTGCTCCTCTACCAAAGCCTGTGGCTTATACCTACTATATAGTCATCAGCTTTTGTTTTGGGTATACCATAAATACAGCATCATCAACCATTTGAAGTTTCAACATCAAAATGTCCTGTTGCAGGGGCTACTTGTTGATAAAGGAAACATCAACGACTAAGCACCTACGTAAGGAGCATTCATCTGGCGCAGAATCTCGCCATATGTAGCATGATCTGATGTGTTTTTGAAGCCAGGCATGAAGTCTGAAAAAAATCTTAAAACTGAGGCCAGATGTTGAGAATCATTTGAGACATAGGCTGCTTCAAGAAACAAAGATGGCTGGACCGTGACAACCTGAAAATTACATGTCGCTTTGTTAAAAGAAATTAAATGAACTCCATACATTGAGATTATACATCTTTTTCTGCATTTTATGGTACATCTTACACAGTAGAATTGTGTATTTTAAAGGACAGGTGAAGGAATTACAGGCTCACAGTACCAAGTATGTACTTGGGTTTCCTTTTAAAAGAACATTTAATGATTAGGCAGACCAAATCAACGAAAAGAAGAAAGAAAAAGCAGAGGAGTGCAAGGAAGATACTTTTGTAATTATCTTGCCAATTCTTATGAAAAATAGAAGATGAAATAAAAAAAGATCCGTTAATTGGAACACAAAAACAAAATTACTAGTTAATATGCTTCAAGTTGTAACAGTGTGATGAACTCGGGTCAACCGGGTCAACCGAGGTCAACCGATAAAAGTCTACACTAGAAGAGTCAAGCAAGGGAGCAGCAACCAAGGAAGCAGGGCAATTCCAATGTGCTAAAGGACAAGTTTAATTAAGAAGAGAAGAAGGAATAGAAGAATAGAAGCAAGCAACTTTTAGTATGTTCTATTTTGGTTTTTCTATTTTAAGCTTAGTATTCACATGTAATCTCTAAGGTCAATCTGACCATTAGTATAAGTAATTTAGTATGTGCAATTTAGAAGGCATTCAGAAAATTGTGAGGAACACTTGGAGACTAGCAGCCTCAAGTTGCTCGGAGAGTAGTAACCTCAAGTTACTTGTATCCCTCTTTTGTCATTGTTGAATGAAATCAGTCCTTCTCTCTTATTAAGCTCAGTTACAGTTTTAGTCCATTACAAATTGATATCAGAGCAGGCGGTCTTGCGGCTGCCGGTGACCGGAAACCACCACTTCGACACCTCGAGTATTTAAAAAAAAATAAAATAAAAAAAATGGCAGGACCTACCTTAAGTCAGCGCGCTGACGCCATGGATGGAAAAATCGAAGAGGTGGAATCTCGGCTTAAATCAATCGAGGATAAACTCACGAGCCAAGAAACTTCGATTGGGCGGGTGGTTGCAGAGTCGGTGAGTAACGCCATGGCAGAAGCTCAGAAGGCTATCGCCGAAAACGTTACAGCCCTGTTCGAGGCAGAGAGGATACGTCTTGAAGGACGGATCGACCGTCACCGGAATACCGCGGAGGAGCAGATGAATTTAATGATGCGGGAGAATGAGAAGATTAGGGCGGAGCTTAAGGCGGCGGTGGCTGCTGCAGCCCCGAAACCCCGACCACCGCCGATTATCACGGTGGATGGCGAAAACAGTCAAATCCAAGGTGAGAATGAAGTCCGTACCCCCGTTGAGAGGGCGTTTGGAATGCCGGAGTGGAGAAACCGAGACCCACGCGGGTGGAACAACGACGGAGGAGGAGGAGAGGGGCGTTGGAGACCCAAAAGGTTGGATATGCCGGTGTTCGAAGGAAAGGACCCTGATAATTGGGTCATGAGGGCTAAGATGTACTTCGATTTCCACCAACTTTCTGATCAAGACTGGGTCACCGCCGCGGTGGTGGCCATGGACGGCCCAGCCCTACAGTGGTACCACTGGGAGAACCGTCGACGACCCTTTGCTCATTGGACGGACCTCCGTTGCCGACTCTTGAAGGAGTTCCGTCCGACCAACGCCGGTACCCTCCAGGAACAGTGGCTAGCCGTGACTCAAACTTCTACAGTGGCGGAGTACAGAAGGAAGTTCATAGAGATGGCTTTTCCTCTTGAGGAAATTCCAGAAGAAATTATGAGGGGGCAGTTCATCAATGGTCTAAAAGAGGATATAAAGGCTGAGCTGAGATTGTTGGATCCGGCTACATTGGATCGGGCTATGGATTTGGCGGGTAAGATTGAAGAAAGAAACAGAGTGAGCAAAGGGAAGGCTAGTGTTGGGCCTTGGCGTGCTGGGCCGAGTGGGGTGAGTGGGGTCCAGTCGGTTTCTGGTGGGAGAATGAGAGGTGGGCTCATACAATCTTATGGGCTGCCAAATGCAGGCCCAAGTCGCACATGGCCACGGGCCCCGGAATCTCAAGGATCCGCTAGTGTTGGACGACCCAATCCGGGTCAATCTACACAACGATCCGGTAACGAGCCGAGGAGGTTGACGGAGAGCGAGTTACAAGACAAGAGGGCAAAGGGACTTCGTTTCCGATGTGATGAAAAATGGGGTATTGGGTATCGGTGTAGGAAGAAGGAATTGAGTGTTTTGCTTACCGGGGGGGTGGAGATGATGACGAGTTGGAAGCGAAGGGATGTGAAGAGGAGTTAGAGGAACTCAAGGAGGAAGTAGGGGTAACCTTATGCTCGGTGGTCGGAATTTCAAACCTGAAAACCATGAAGTTAAAAGGAGTGATCCAAGGAAGGGAGGTGGTGGTCATGATCGACCCCGGGGCCACCCACAATTTTATTTCACTATCACTAGTGGAAGAGGCTAAACTACCATTAACGAAAGGGGGCGAGTTTGGGGTGTCACTCGGGAATGGTGACACCGTGAAAGGTAGAGGGGTTTGCCAAGGTGTTCGAGTTAGGCTAACCGGTGGAATAACCGTGGTGGAAGACTTCCTACCACTTGGGTTAGGAAACGCCGATGTGATACTTGGGGTGCAATGGTTGGAAAAACTTGGAACCGTCACCACGAATTGGAAGACCCGGGAAATGAGGTTCGCGGTGGCCGGAACGCCGGTGAAGCTCGTCGGAGATGCCTCATTAGAAACGACAAAGGTTTCCCTTAAGGCTATGTTTCGGATTTTGAGTAAGGAAAGGAGTGGGCTTTGGGTGGAAGTGAATCAAGTGGAGCAAAAAGAAGTTGGGCCAGCTGCTGAAAATGGGCCCAAAACAAAAGATGATCCACCAGAATTTTTAAAGTCCATTTTGGAGCATTTTGCCAAGGTTTTTAATATGCCTACGGGACTCCCTCCAATTCGAGGCCATGAGCATCCCATCATTTTGAAGGAGGGCAGCAACCCCGTTAGCGTGAGGCCGTATCGGTATCCACAAATACAAAAAGATGAAATTGAGAAGATGATCTGGGAAATGTTGGAAGCCGGAATTATCAAGCCCTCCACTAGTCCGTTTTCAAGTCCGGTTTTGCTAGTAAGGAAGAAGGATGGATCATGGAGATTTTGCATCGATTACCGTGCCCTTAACAAGGAAATGGTTCCGGATAAATACCCGATACCGGTGATCGATGAGCTTTTGGATGAATTACACGGAGCAGTCATTTTTTCCAAGTTGGACTTGAAGTCCGGCTATCACCAAATCCGAGTGAAAGCTGACGATACTCATTAGACGGCTTTCCGAACTCACGAGGGTCACTACGAATTCCTTGTGATGCCGTTTGGGCTCACTAATGCCCCGGCCACATTTCAATCGTTGATGAACAATATATTTCGACCCTTCTTGAGGAAGTTTGTGCTAGTGTTTTTTGACGACATTCTCGTGTATAGCAAGAGTCAAGAGGAGCATCAAAAACATTTGCATCTAGTTCTCACAAAATTGGCAGAACATGATTCGTATGCTAATTACAAGAAATGTGAATTTGGGAAGCATGAGGTGGCTTATTTGGGACATGTAATCTCAAGCCAAGGAGTGGCCATGGATCAAGAAAAGATAAGGGCCATAATCAGTTGGGCCAGCCCAAGAAACTTAAGAGAGTTGAGGGGTTTTTTGGGTTTGACGGGTTACTACCGCAAATTCGTGGCAAGATATGCTCAAGTGGCCGGGCCTCTTACATCACAATTCAAGAAAGATGCGTTTGGGTGGTCCGAGGAGGCGGCCCACGCTTTTGAAAAGTTGAAGGTGGCCATGACCACCGCCCCGGTGCTAGCTATGCCGGATTTCGGCAAGGAATTCGTGGTGGAAACCGATGCTTCCGGCTATGGGCTTGGAGCCGTTTTAATGCAAGAAACCCGGCCCATTGCATTCTTTAGTAAGCTCTTAGGAGTAAGAGCTCGGGCGAAATCCATTTACGAGAAGGAGCTTATGGCTATTTGCTTAGCCGTGGTCAAATGGCGACATTACTTGTTGGGGCGGCACTTTGTGATTCGGACCGACCAACAAAGTTTGAGCTAGTCGGATTCGATTTCGAGGTTCGTTATAGGCCCGGGGCCTCCAATCGAGTAGCCGACGCCTTGTCTCGGAAGGGGTGTGAGTTAGGAGCCTTGGTTTACACTCAAGGAAGGGAAAAGCTACAACACGAAATGGATACTGATCAGTGGATCAAGGAACTCAAGGAGAGCTTTGGGCCAGACAAGCAAAAGCCCAAAGGCTTTACTTATGAAGAGGGTAGGATCTTATACAAAGGAAGAATAGTCATCCCAAAAACTTCCAGTATTATTCCAAAATTGCTTCGAGAATATCACGACGCTCCCACCGGAGGTCACGACGGAGAGGTGAAGACATATCTCAAGATGTCGGCGGAATGGTATTGGCCGGGGCTTCGCAAGGTCGTGGGTGAGTATGTGCGGGGTTGTGATGTTTTTCAACGCAACAAGGCGTTGCAACGGCAATCGGCGGGGCTGCTACAACCGTTGCCGGTGCCGACGGCGGTCTGGGAGGAGATCTCCATGGATTTTATCGAAGGTTTACCCTTATCCAAGGGGGTGAACACGATTCTGGTGGTTGTGGACCGTCTATCCAAGTACGGGCATTTTATTGGGTTAAAACACCCTTTCGACGCTGCGAAGGTTGCCGGAATTTATGTCAAGGAAGTGGTGCGGCTACATGGGTTTCCTTCCGCCATTGTTTCAGATCGGGATCGCATTTTCATGAGTATTTTGTGGCAAGAATTGTTCCGTTTACAGGGTACGCAATTACAGAGGAGTACCGCGTATCATCCCCAATCCGACGGCCAATCGGAGATTGTGAACAAGGCGGTGGAGGTGTATTTGCGCTGCTTCGCCTCCACCCAACCTAAAACTTGGGCTCAGTGGTTGCCGTGGGCGGAGTATGCCTATAATACTTCACCACACAGCGCCACTAAGACCACCCCATTTAAGGTGGTCTATGGTCGAGAACCGCCTAAGCTGTGGCGCGTGCAACCAGGTCAGACAGTGGTGGGATCATTAGAGGAGCAATTGCGCGAAAGGGATTTCATGCTTGATGAATTGAGGTTGAATTTACTGCGTGGCCAACAATTAATGAAAGAAAATGCTGACAAACACCGGAGAGATGAGCAATTCGACATCGGGGATATGGTTTTTCTCAAGCTCCAGCCTTACCGCCAGAAATCCTTGGCGAAGAGACCCTTTGAGAAGTTAGCTGCTCGGTTTTATGGACCCTTTAGGGTGGTGCAGCGCATCGGGAAAGTGGCATACAAGCTCGACCTCCCTGCCTCTTGCAAGATTCATCCGACTTTCCATGTCTCACAACTCAAGAGGGCAATCGGGGATCGTCCTGCCAACCCAACCATTCCAGATCAGCTCACCATTGATCTTGAGATGCTGGCGGAACCTGAAGCTGTGCTAGATGTCCGCAAGCAGAGTCAAGGGGATGTCTTAATTCGGGAAGTCTTGGTCAAGTGGTCTAATCTACCGGAATTTGAAGCTACTTGGGAGGACTGGGATGCCTTGAATGATCGATTCCCACACTTCCACCTTGAGGACAAGGTGAAACTCGTGGGGGGGAGTAATGTGATGAACTCGGGTCAACCGGGTCAACCGAGGTCAACCGATAAAAGTCTACACTAGAAGAGTCAAGCAAGGGAGCAGCAACCAAGGAAGCAGGGCAATTCCAATGTGCTAAAGGACAAGTTTAATTAAGAAGAGAAGAAGGAATAGAAGAATAGAAGCAAGCAACTTTTAGTATGTTCTATTTTGGTTTTTCTATTTTAAGCTTAGTATTCACATGTAATCTCTAAGGTCAATCTGACCATTAGTATAAGTAATTTAGTATGTGCAATTTAGAAGGCATTCAGAAAATTGTGAGGAACACTTGGAGACTAGCAGCCTCAAGTTGCTCGGAGAGTAGTAACCTCAAGTTACTTGTATCCCTCTTTTGTCATTGTTGAATGAAATCAGTCCTTCTCTCTTATTAAGCTCAGTTACAGTCTTAGTCCATTAGTCCATTACAAACAGCAGATGTGTGTGTGAGAGAGAAAAGCATACCTTATATTTACGCGCATAGCGTAAGGCTTCAAGATAATATCCATCCTGCAGCAGTGACAGTACGTAATCATGATGCAAAAATAGCTGCCTAAGCATGTCCATTCCAAGTTTTCTTGTTGGAGGATGCTGACGGCCAGATTCTAGTAGTTGATAAGCAACTTCTTTTGAAGGTTCAATAATCTGCAGTGTAATTTCATTTGTAAATTGATACAGACTCTTTGCAGGTCAGTAAAATAAACTAGAATTGAATTTGCATCAAAACCTTATCAATGACGAACAAGCCCAGTTCTCCAAATCGCCCACCTCGTGCTAGCAATTGAATCATCAGAACATATAAACTTGGATACACTCTGATTCTTTCCAGTGTAGCACTATCAATAATAAAGAGAATTGACAAGCATTTAGTAGCTTATTATTTATACGACCTTGTGCATGATCACAGGAAAAAAAACTACTCGACTCTTCATCACTATAAGCAACAAGCAAATTTCAGTAGAATATAATATAGGAAAGAATTATTCCAATGGCCTTCTCAGAAGCTGTATTCATCCTCCCACTATTACATGCTACAGCCAATGAAGTGATTATCTTAGACATTAGCTTTTCTGCTTGTTTAAATAACCACATCCTCAAGAAGAAAACTACTCAACCTACATTAATACGAGTACATAAATGACTGTGGAAAGTCAGACCAATAGCAAAGCTGATACTAAGTTATCAAATTGCATTTGATAATGTTTAAGGTAACTTAAATTAATGCACAATTCACAGAAATACAGAATAATCTTAGCAACTATTTCAAAAGAATCTTCGCATGATTTTTTTTAACATTGTTGCTTCTAATTTTCAGAAATCTAAACCATCAACGTAAAAACATAGAAATGACATAAGATAATAAAACCTTTGAATTTCATGCAGAGTAAAGAGAGGGACAAACATGGAAAATAAAGCTAGAATTATTACTTTTTTAAAAAAAAATTAAAACAAAAAACCTCTTTTCAAAGGAGGAAAACAAAATGTAGGCAAGGTGTCAAAAGAAATATGGAGCTTTAAACAAAAATTATACGGAGTATAACTAATATACTCTCTCCTTTCCCGACAGTTCGACCTGCTTACTGTAGAATCTTGTTTCTAGAAATGAATGGAAAAAGTGGTGGGGTTAAAAAAAAAAGCGAATAAAGTAAAAGAGATGGGGTAAAAAGGTGGGTGGGTGTAAGAAAAAGGTGGATAAAGTAAGAGAGAGTTAAGGTGTAAATAGCATGGGGTAGGAGGGGTGAAACAACTTTAAATGAAAAGTGAGTTGAACTTTTGAGAATAGAGGGAGTACTTGTTCTGAACTTCTTAAAAATACCACAGTACGCATAATTACTGTTAAGTATTGCTACGAACCATCAACACAATTACTTCGTCTTACTATTTTCTTTAAAACATTTCCAAGATTTGAACTGTTTTCCTCTCCTTTAGTATTCCGCAGGCAGTAAGGATGATTAACATAAAATCGGGGAGGGAAATTCACTGGAGAAGCAAAATAAGAAGTGGAGCTATGAGAAAGAATATCAATTTGGATACCTGCGAAGGAACTCAACAAGGATAGAAACCAAATAAGCAGGATCCCCAGTCATCTCTTCATCTACAGAAGAAAATACAAAGCGGTATAGCTCATCAGGAGAAATGGCTGCAGTGGTGATCTGAGATTCTTGCTGCTCTAAATTATTAGCATCCAATGGGACACTACTGGGACCAGGAACTTCAGACTCTAAGGATGATTGCTGAATCCTTGTACCAGAACTTTGAGCACCTTCAACCAGTTTACTTCTAGCTGAACTCAGACTAACCTTTCCCTCTAAATCTGAATGTGAAATGGTTGAAGATCTAGTATATTCATCAGGGATCACAGAGGAGTCCATTTTAATAGGTACTCCACTCGAATCTCCTCTGGAGAATTCATCAGTGCCAGGTCTAGGGTTATGGGCAGGTTGGACATCAGAAGAAAGGATTTTATCAGCTATTATCCCCTTAAAGTAACTGCCCGTCTTAATTGCACGGGAATAAGAAGTCATAAGAACATCCATTGATTGTGCAACAATACCCACTTCCCTATGCTCCAATATGATAGTCCTTGCTAAATCCAAACATAATTGCTTAGCCTGAGTCAGAGAAAAAGTAAAAAATAAAGCATAAGTAAATGCTGACTGAATAACCTTTTGCAAAAATTGGGAATAAAATTTTACTTCATAATGCGATTTCCAAATGGAAGTAGGTTATATAGTATACCTTATTTGCTTCTAACTTCCGTCTCTGAAGAAATTCCAGTACAGAGGGTACATCTGAGCTACTAGCAGATATAGACTGCATAAAAGGCATTGAATGTAACAACAGCATTTTGCACTTAAAACAATTTTAAAATTAAAAGTAGTACTCACATCCAAGTCCAAATGGATTTTCCACAATAGTCCACTTCTGGTATCACAGATAAGATCTGGATTCAAAAATGTCCATCCATCTCTATAAATTGTTGTCTCATCTTCATCAACCGGTTGTGGCTCTGAACGTCCATCACCTTTGCTACAAGGACTAGAAGTAGAAAACATACTTGCTCTAGGATAGCCCCTTAAAAGCAGAGGAAGTGGAGCAGATATCGGCGCCCTAGACTCTGCAAAAAGGTCATACAGTATGACAACCTTTGCATCCACTTGATGAACCAGCAGTACATTATCAACCACACTCACAGAAACCTTGCTGGAATAAATGGGTAAAGAGCCCTGAAATTAATAGTGTATTAGTACAAAAGCATACTTAGCTAGATGGTAATTGAAAATTATTTTCATCATAAGCACGTGCATGAGCATAAATGTGTCGGCTAGACTCCACCCATCAAGCGATACACAAAATTCTACTACCTCCGTTGCTGAAAGTTCTTAACATCTACAGTTCTCACACATATTAAGACAATTGGAGAGAATGCTGATGTGGTGAGTGGGTGTAACAAAAAGGTGGATAAAGTACAAGACAGTGTAAAAAGGTAAGTGTGTACATGAAAAAGGTTGATAAATTAAGAGAGTGAATGGAAAAAAGTAAATATGGTTGAAATTCACAGACCGAACCCACAGAAAATTTTGATTCTTTGATTAACTAAATAATCTGATTTTTTTTTTTATTAAATTGATTTAATACGATGAAATAACAAAAATGAATGCTTTAATATTGCTTGACAGTGAGAAAGGACTACAAAAGATAGGTTTAGTAGCTTCAAGCTATTACTCTCCAATAATGAGTTTAGCTCACAACTCTCTAACAATGGCTTTAGGTCATAACTCTCTCAAGGGTTCTCACCAAATTTCTGCCTACCTTATCTTTCCCCTCCCTCTCTACTTATACTAAGGACTATTAACCTAGTAAACTAATATTACTAGAATACCCATACTACCCCTCCTTAGGTTAGTCCATTACAGTAAGAGGATGAGGTAGTAGAAGGGGTTTGAGTCAAATACTTTCTGAAATGAACGAAACAGAGTGTGAAGACTGAAGAACTTTCGGAAACAATAGGCTGTAACTTTTAGAGTGGGTGAAGTGACTGAAACATACAACAAATTATAGACCCACCACCAGAAAAAAATCAGAGAAGAGTAAGATAACATGTTTTCATCTCAATTTTGCAACTTCATGAATTGTGTCAGTTTGTGATAATGCAAATCTGTGATCATGGAGTGAGTCTGGGCGCATAGCGCCTATGGGCGAGCTATGCAAATAGGAGGGTAAGGAAGTAATTTCCGCTGATTCAATTTTTGCTTCTAGAAAAAGCTGACTCTCTAGTGGTACATTATAATGTATCATTATGTACCATTATGCATGTATGATGTACCACTAAAGTATAAGTTGTCTGAATAGTACTTTTTGTGGACTATTACGAGTGTAGTGGTACTTTTTTAACATCCTATAAGTTTCAACTTCTGGAAAAAGCTGACTCTCTAGTATAATGTACCATTATGTACCATTATGCATGTATAATGTACCACTAAAGTATAAGTTATCTGAATAGTACTTTACTAGGAATTAGCTCAGATCAGAGAGATTAGGAAGATGATTAAGCAGAAAAAATTAGCTAAGTACCAGATATTCGTATTGATGATCAGAGTAATCAAACAATACAATCACTCTTCATTCGAGAGGAAGAGCAGCTCTCCAAAACTAAGAAAAGCTTAACAATATTTTCAGCATGATCATTATTCCTCCTAATGAGGCCTATTTATAGAAAAAGTCTCATAACTAACTCTAACTTATTCCTCAAGACACTACTAATAGGCTATGACTAATGTGCCCCTCCCTCAAATATTGATTCCTTGCATACTTTTTAATTGCAAAATTGCCATCCTATATGCGCTGAAATCAATAGGTGCTATGCGCCGATTATTAACCGTGATCATGAGTTCATGACAGAAGATACTGTCATTTCAAATTTGTAATTCCAGTATTCCAGCCCTAATTATGATACGTGACTTCCAATAGAAAATGTTCCCATCACCCGAAAAACAGCATCAAAATCATTATTCAATGCCGAATAAAAATTCTACAATATTTAACAGAGGTTAGAGGAAAGAAAAAGAACAAATAAGAATAAGTACCTGTGGTACAACAGCATCACGATAAAATCTATAGCAATGGAGCAGCATGGCCACTCTATCAACTTGTAAGCAGTATATTCTTCCATAACTGTAAAGGTAAAAATATTTCAGAGAGCTCACATATATTCAGACTAAGGAGAATAATCAGTAACAGCTCTGCAAGCCTTACACCGTGATTATGTGGACATCTTGGGCAGCTAGGATTGGCTTACTATTGGCCTCAGACTTGGCCATCAGCATTTCAAACTTTGGCAAGCGAATAATTCCAGCAGATGAGAGCTACATAGAGGAAATGGGCAAGTTTCAGACAAATTATGAAAGCAAATAAAAATGATAAAAGAGCATTAATTCACAAGGATCTCTTCTTAAAGACTATATAAACTGTATCCAGCCACTGGCATGGCAAGTAAGCACCAATAAAATCAAATTCAATAAGAAAAATTCAAAAAAAAAAAAAAAAAAAAAAAAAAAGCCTAGATAACCCAATATTTCCTTTCCACTCTTTTGCAAAGTCCTTTATTCAGTAAGTTATTTATAAGAAGTAAATTATCAAAATACAACCTAAAATATGAGGTGCTTTTGTTGCAACAAAAATCTATCTATCTATCTATCTATAAAATCATCAATAAAGTTAATTCATTACATGATATCAACACTCACCATTTAACTTTTTTTCCCTTTTTTTTAAATTTTTTTTTTATTTATAAATAAAATATTAAAATCATCAATAAAGTCAATTCATTACATGTAATCAACATTAATTCTTTCACACTCCCATTAACTTAAATATAGATTACATAACGTTAAATGGTTCAAGATTTTAGGCATTACGTAACTTGCATGATTTAAGTAACAAAATAGGTGTTACATTTTCTTAAAAACACACCTCAAGAAAAATAATCTATATAATTAACCTGTGCATCAAAAGGGTCAATAGGTTAGTAGTTTTGGTTTAGTAAACCCACATCACATAATTACCAATTTACCATAAGACTTATTTCCTGTGATAACCCTAATCCAAACCAAGAACACAACTACCATGGCGTTCCATTCTAGGTTTCTCTCTCCTAACTCCACAAACTTGCAAAGCCAAGACCCTTTGAAATCTTATAGATGAACAACAAAAATCTTTCAAGTATAAATTACTTTATGATGGTTGCATAAGCTTTTTTGGTTGGTTGCATTGAATTTAACTATTCATGGTATGTATTTTTTTTTTCATCCAAATAAATGTATGTGTGCAACCTTAGCAAAACAAATTTAGATCGTGCTTCTTACAAACCTTAATCAGTTTAATCACATCTCTATTCTCTATCTTGATTTTAGAGTTAGGCACTTAAGAGGGGGAAGGGGGGGGGGGGAGAGTCCCTCTTTTTCATTAAAAACAAAAAACTAACAGCTTATTTGGGTAATGAAAAGGGAAGGAAAAGAAGAGGGAACAATAATGAGTTTTCCTTTCAAATCTCTCCATTGTTGGAGCGATCAATTTCTTACAAATTAATCCCTTCATCTCTCTCCCTTCTAATTCCCTTCATCCTCTATTAATTATCCAAATGAAAGATATTCCATCCCTCTATTTCCCTTCCCTTCCCTTCATTTCCCTCCATTCCCATTGATCCAAAGTCCCTCTTTTTCATTAAAAACAAAAAACTAACAGCTTATTTGGGTAATGAAAAGGGAAGGAAAAGAAGAACAATAATGAGTTTCCCTTTCAAATCTCTCCATTGTTGGAGCGATCAATTTCTTACAAATTAATCCCTTCATTTCTCTCCCCTCTAATTCCCTTCATCCTCTATTAATTATCCAAATGAAAGATATTCCATCCCTCTATTTCTCTTCCCTTCCCTTCATTTCCCTCCATTTCCATTGATCCAAACACACTCTAAGTATTTCCCAATTCATAACGCTGCTTTTTGAAACTCCGAGATTTCGGCGGTACGACCGTTTTAAGCTGAAAATCGGCCGCATCTAACGTTATTTACCGCGATTCGAAGAAAAAAATCGCAAACTTTAAGATTTAAAACCACTTTTCCGGCGAGATCTCCATGAAAGTCGACTTTGTGGCAAATAAAAGCGATTTTTTATTTTTTTGAGAAAATTGGAGTGGTTGGGTAATAAAGTATGACAACTAGATGCCTAGAATATTCTTTAGTTTCTCTTTACAGTAATTTTTATCTTGACCCCACCATGCACCATCTGAATTTACCCCTTCTCTTCCCCTTTGTCTTTATCTTTTTTCTTTCCCACGTGAATCCCAACCCCTTATTACACATTTACCTATAGTCTAGAGTTAAGTCCATATTTTATTTTTATTTTTATTCTTTTTTTTTTTTTAAGAAAAGTCCATTTTTTTAATTAATTTTTTTTTTAAGAATACATAAAACTTAAAAATGAAATAAAATAAAATTCTTGCGCGACAACCGCGATGAAGTCCGCGATCAACGCATCAAGCCCGTTACCGAATTACCGCGACTGTTTCTGTGATCGCGACCGAAACCGCATTTTCAAACCATGCCCTAACCACACTCGATTCGATAGATCTTCCAAAAAAACTAGTTAAGCAATGATTGTTTTTTTTCATTTGATTAAACTAAGATAGTTCCTAAAATTCTTCATCAAAGGTTTTTTCACTCTCTAAGAAAATGTGAAGAAAAATCAATAACAATATACTAAAATAGACACAAGAATTACGCATGTCATTTTCTGATGCAATTATTTTTCCCTACAAATCACTCCTTTCTTTTTTGCAAAAACTTCTTCGAGAATTATAGTATAATATAACTGTCATAATATTATTGTAAATCTTTTATAAGTATCGTTTATTATTATTATTATTATTATTATTATTATTATTATTATTATTATTATTATTATTTCATTTGCTTATTTGTTCTTTCAGCATTTTTCATTAAGAAATTTCAAAACATTCTTGTATAAATTATAAAGAATCTTCCTACTTAGGGTCTGTTCTCTTCAGCATAATTTCAGTTTAGTTTAATTCAATTCAGCTCCAATCAATTTAGTTGAGTTTAGCTCAATTCAGTTCCTAATTTCCTTCTCTCATAAAATATTCATTTCATTTTAGTTTAGTCCAATCAGTCAATACAGTACAGGTTCAGCTCAATATATTTTTTTAAAAATGCTTTAATTGGTTTCTCGCCTATTTCTAATACGAGGAACATAGCAAATGAAGGAAGTACAACAACATCTTAAAATTATAAACACTTTATCTATGCATGTAATCATGTAAGAAGATTGATTGATTAGAATTTCATTCATTTTTTTTATTTGTTAATGCTTTCATATATGATTATATCTTAGGAAAAAAAAAATTGACCAAAAATCATTAATCAGGGTTATTATTCCTTCTCATTAGGTGTATTACATAATTTTACTTTTTTAGTTAATAAAAAGAAAATTGATACCAATTTATTATCTAATTTTTAAAACGTTTATATGGTGTAATATGTAGTTTTAATATATACTCATTTGTCTAATCAACTCTTTCCTTATAGTTCATGTTTCATTTACACAAAATAAGAAGATAATAAATATGTTATAGTTGTATCTTATCTGTATTATTTTTTATAAAAAGTTGTTTTTTATTTTATCGATTAATTGCAGTGAATTACCGTGCATGGCACGAGACCTAATCTAGTATATAAATATTTCTTAGCTCATCTTCAAGACACCGATTCTTCTTCCTTGCGTGTGACCGTGTCATCTTTTTAATTTTTTTTTTTTTGGTTGGCTACTTTGGTGGTGGAAGTAGGCTACTACAGTTCCATTACTTCATGTGTTTTTCTTCTGAATTTCTCTCTCCACTTTATTCTACCCCCTCATTCCTTTTCTCCTCTATCCAAACCAAGGGAGTTGAATCTCTTCATCCCTCCCCTCCCTACCTGATAATGTATCCAAACAAGCTGTTAATCATTATGGTCACCACTTTTCTCACCTCAATTGAGTAAACAATAATACTTACCACCTTGTTTTCTATTCACTTATGTTCATCAAATCCCACCACCAATCATCTCCTACAACTATGTGCCTAAGGGTAATGGTAAGTTTTTTTGGGACGAAGGGAGTATACTAAATTATAAATTAGTTTATGGCACTATTATAATAGAATACTCTAATTATTGATGATTTTGATAATTGCTAAAAAGAAGATCTCAACCATAGTCATAATAAAACCTACAGAAAGAAATAAAATAATAATACAATAAGAACTAGAAAAGCATTAAATTATTTATAACTCCACTAGTTGTCAACAATCTTTATCCTAACATATTTTTTGATATATCCTCAATCAGCTATAAGAATTCTATATCCTCCTATCATGCCCATACTGTCCAAGATTACAAGCATTAAATCTATTGGAAAAAGGCATAAAGATTGAAGCCAGTGTCTCACATCCAGCCCCATCCAGCAGAGTAGAATAGATCACAAGAGATTTTTACCATAGTACTTGGACTATAAGTCTAAGATGGTCCAATCCAAAGAAAAAAGGGTTAATACCAAATACACTTTCACTTTTAGTCCCATATATCAGGGAACATGTTTAAATGTACTGTTCCTTTTATCCTTTATACCATATAAAATATAAGCATTGCCAAACACCATAAAACCTGATCAGCTGTCATATTGCACTAAGACCTTCCAGCACAGATTATGATATTATTCTCTCAAGTTCCAGACCAAAAAAACTTATTATGAACATTCATTACCTGGAATCCAGTAAAACTCTTGCATTGCATCCCTGAAGCAAGGAGAACAAGACGACTTTCATGTGTGTAGATGTACCAATTCACATTCACACGCTTGGATTCGATAAGTTGAATATTTTGTGATTCAGAATCATAAGTTAACATGTCCAGCCCACTGCAATATTAAAGACAACAGGTAAATCAAACCACATAAATATCACAGAAAAATATTATGTGCCTTTCCATATAGCATTTACAGCTTGACCAACAACCTCAGACAAACATAAAAGATAAAATTACCAAAAATTTCATTTGCATTACAAGTGTCTTTCACATCATCATGATCACACATACCCCATATAAAAAACTTAAATCTAGATAAACAATTTACACCAGTCTACAACAACTGGATAATTTATTACATTTAAAAGACCAGTCATAGAGCAAACACAGAATTTAGTTATGATTATCAGATTATGCGTACATAGAAGGCTTGGAATGATGAAACAAAGAATCTACAACTCAAAACGTTTTGTCAAGACAATATAAATGTGTTTAAACACAACTTTCATAAAAAGTGTAAATCTTAGAATTTTTTTTAAAAAAATATATAAGATTATTGGCTTGAGCATTCGAAAATTTTCATTAGCGTCTGCAGAAATGTTTTTATTTTATTTTTTATTTTTTTTATTTTTATATTTTATTTTATTTTATTTATATCCAATGCTACAATATCTCAGAAACTTCTCTAAGGAACCAAATCTTGCATCCTAGTAAGTATTTAATAATAAGATGGTCTGTAGAACATATTACACACATGCAGGAAAGCTTTCACCAAAGGAAATGTAATATGGCATTAAGCCCATCAAAATGGATTAAGAACCTGCAGTCTGTAAGCTGTCTTGAGGACTATACGAGGGCTAAGATCTTAAACTGACACAAATCCTACAAAGTTATACTGCAGATGCCAGACTGGTAATTAAGGATGTAGTTAAGCAATTAGATGATTTTGATATACGTAGTATATTGGACCAGAGAAATAATGCATTACACTTGAGCAGTGTAATTTAGTGAAACTGGTTTCTAGGTCTATACTATAATGATATTAATAGCTTCTATAAGCACTTCTCAGCTTGTCTTCTTACCATATGTCCGTCCCACTTGCATTTATATGACAATTGAGATTCAAATCAAATGCAGAATCTACGAGATATATGACTTCTTCTAATAGTGCTATAGGCAAAAATGGAACGAAGGGATCAAAGCATTACAGAGATTTTCTTTTCTGGTACAAGCAAAGCATAATATAATAGGCAAAAAATTGTCCTATAACAATTATACAACAATATATAAACAGCAAGGAATTTGAGGACAGCAGAGTGAGACGGAGTAGCATGTCCATTCAAAGCATTGTTGACTATGTGACAGACATTGGAAACAAAATTTGCTGTTTGAGTCACCGTTAATTTGGCTTTCCACAAGTAGCTGTTTGTGATGATATTGTTTGAACTCATGCCAAACATTCTTCATACATCATTGTGCTATGTAATCAGCCATTATAATCCCTTATTTATACCATCACACATGGTACTTAAATCCATAATTTTCTTCACAAATTTACAAGTTTATACCTTTAAAATACTTTGTATTACATCTAGCATAGAGTATAAGATATGTACCAAAACTCTCGAGTTACAATGACAAAGTGAAAATTTTCTAATATGTAAAATTCACATTATGAAGTGTAACATTACAACTTAACCTTTTTCCAAGGATGCAAATATTATCACAAATTACAACTGCAATCACAAATTGTTTCGAACAAGATCCTATGATTTTTTTTATTTTCTTATTCACTTTATTAATACTGGTGAAGAGGGAGTGCTATACTGCTATCCAAAGATTCTATTTCTGAACTCCTAGATTTGTTGTGAAGACTACAGATAGCCTAAGATAAGCTCCTTATGTTTCAACTGTAAATGATTTGTTAATTATTTGTTTCTACATTGTTTTTTTTTTTACTCCGCAAAGCGGAAATATGTTCAATATAATAGTGGTCTTAGATTGTATCTTACATGGAGAGTTAAACAGATTCTTGAGATAATGGGCATGCCTTTTTCATTAATACCTTAGTAATAAAGAAGTTGAAGTTGGCAAAGAAATATCATCAGGTTCTAAAATAGACTCAATCAGAGCCAACAACACTTCAAGTTTTAAATACATACCTTGTCTTTACAAGTACGAAATTACAAGCAGAGGAATCTGTCCAAAAAAAGCCCAGTATCTTCTCTGACTCGGGCTTACACCTGTGGCTAAATGAGTTGCCTTTTTCCTTGTTCCAAAAGTGGATCTCATGGATTGACCGCTGAATTGCTATAATCTTATTATCTAGAGAGTAGCGAACAGATAATACAGGACCTTCACTTACGGAATCAGATGTAGGTTCAACATTAGGCTCAAAAGGTGCAATTTTCCACGAAATAACCTAGCAAGAAAAACCAAATTACCTTAAATTTAAATCATGGGAAAATAATAACTTGCTGGTAATATTTGATGAAGCAATATGCAAATCCTTACAACATCATCTTGATTCATTATGCACCATTACCTGATCAGATGTTGGGGATAGCAATAACTTATTCCCATCATCATAGAATAAGCTCTTTGAACCTGGGAAGCTGCATTTCAAGGGGGGATACTGAATATAAACATGTGACAAAGCACCTGACCCACTTAAGCCAATGCTGGCTTGGGAACTTGATGCTTCGCTGTTCATATTAATATGCCCTCTCTTGTTCCCTAAAATATTCTGCTTGCTGTGTAAAGATAACCAAGGATCACTATGGAAAAGAAACAAATTGAGAGCCTACAAACAGAAGGAAAAAAAAAAAAGGAAGCATAATGAGCAAGAAAATAGAAGAAAGAAAGGCAAGATAGTAATTACATCAGACATTTAATAGACAAGCCACTGCTGCGGCACATTTTCCACAAAGATATATCTACGAGCTTCTAATTTTAATGAATAGAATGAAGTCATGTGCATAGTTACCTAAGTATGTATTTTGGTATACACAACAATCACGTATAGCTCCTTTGAAATGGTCTCTTAAATCAACTATCAAAACTATTGATTGCAATTCCAGATATGCCCCACTGTCCAATTTGCCACACTAAGGCTTCCCTTTAAGCTACAAGAGAACAAATACATCAGATGAATACGAAAAGAAGAACAATAAGGTTTCAACACTGCTCAAAGCCACCAATTCACTATTTACGGGAAACAGTACCACGTTCTGCATACAATACTTCAGAGCACAAAATTCTTTCACGCACATATTATGTTCAACTTCTGGAATCTTTGCTGCAACACAGCTTCCATAATTCTTTGCCTAGATATAAAGCAAATGGATTAAAATAGAACAAAACAAACACAAAGATGAAACCGCAACACGAAAACTTTTACCTTATGATAAATGCAATATGAGATTCTATCAGAAAACATCAATAAGAGCTAAGAGAAAACATAATGAACATTCCTTGATTTTGACAGATATAAATACAGGGCTAAATATTACGTGTCGTTGGGTTTAGGATCTTTAAGAAAGGAAAGGGAATTTTCTTTGCTCTGAATAATTGGTTCACTATTTTTTTTTCTTAAAAATCAACTATACTATGTAGTTGGGATGAATTTATACTTCATCTATAATCCCTTCTAATTGTCAGCATTCCCTTCACTCCCCTCCCTCAAAGATCTTAATTCCTGCAACTTGGCTATTTGATTTTACATAATTCTGTCATCTAACACCACTTGATTCACAGAGAATGTTCTATCACCATTCACCATCACCCTCTGTAAGCCATCCCAGCCTCTCTACCCAGCCTGAAGCTGCCAGTACCCTTTACTAATGAACCAGAAGCGCCCTCAAAGATGGCAGTACAACTCCTGTTATTAAAGGGATATTGTAAAAGTGAACAGCTGAAACAGATTGCAATATAACAGAGAACAAATTGTACTCAGAACACAAATCGAAACATTGAATTTTTCCCCACTGACTAACTGTTAAAACATCCAGCTGCCTTAGCCCAGAAGATGCTAGATAAATATTAAATCCCAAAGAAAAATCATTAATTAGCACGGAACCTAAGAAAACATGTGCAGTCTTTTTAGCGAAGAGCCCATAAGCACTAGAAAATCCCCATAAAAGCATTATGCCACAACATCTTCATCTCCTTTGCCCAACCTAAGCCCAAAAATCGAACTTGCAGCAATTACAAATACAGTATGGGGGATCGAAGGATACTCCAGTACTCCACAGTCTACATAGACAGCAAAAAGGCTCTTCCAAATATTACTTCTTTTCTCTTTATGAAGGAAGACAAGTGAGCAGGACTCACTATAGACATGAGAAAACATGCACATTTTTGGCAACATAGCAATCCTTAGAGCGAAGTGTTAGTGTTAATCTACCTGACACAAAGGTCCGCACAAAAGTTGCCATCTTCAGAGGAACACAAGCCTTCTAAAGTTATCTGTCAACTGGGGAAAGGGTGTATTCTGGAGGCAATATGAGCAAACCAAAGAATTGCACATAAAGCTGCCCGAATAGCGCCCCCACCCCCACACCTGCCACCATCCTCCTAGTATTCTCTACCTCCAATAATCAAGGTGAGATCCTCTATCTAGTCAAGGGGGTGCCTTAGTAAAGATGATTTCAATCATGGAATGCCATAACAGGAGCATATGTAAAGTGAACAAGCAGCAGTTTAATTGCTCATCATGCACTTTAGATAGCAAACTTTCCTCTCCTACATCTCTCACTCCTGCCCACTCCTCTCTATCTCTTTCAATTCCACAATCACACATTTTGACATATATTACTCCAACTTCAAAACAACCTAAGACCACATACTAGCTCAATTACATAACATCAATCCCCGAATCAATTTCAAAATCACAATCAAATAGGTTGAAATTTTTTGTTGAATAATTAATATTTCAAAGACCATGGTTAATTTGGAGAAACTGCACTGCCGACCTGGCAACTGGATCAAAACTAAATTCCGCAGTTCCTAAGGCTACAGATTCAACTTCCATCACTGTTGCAGCTTGGTTGAACAAGAGTAAAGTAGTCACTGAACAGAGAGAGCACCAAACAAAACTTCAAAGGAGGAGGAGGTCTGATTGGTTGCCTTTCTTTAATTTTGACAGCCAAACATAAAATTAAATTCAAATTCAAACTAGATAGAGAAGAGAAGAAAGATCTGTATAAGGTGGCCCATAGAAGGGAAAGGATGGTCGGTGATGTTGGTACGGTGAACTGTATCAAATAAATAAAGTAGAGAGTCCAATTCATTAAAAAAAAGACTAAGAAAGATGGGAACAATGCTTTGACAAATATTAACTGCAATGATAATAGCAGAGGTTAATTTTGAAAAAAACAACAATATAATCTCTCTTAGGGAGGGAGACTAATGGCCCTAGCATATCCCCTCCCTATATGTTTCCTGAAGAGATGTTTGTGTCTGGTACTCTGGTGCCAAAGAGAGGTGAGCATCATTGTTTTGAGAAACAAGTCAATCACATAATTGACCACATAAATCATGACCACTTGAATAAATCATGACCACATAAATCATAAATCACTACCTTGAAGGCTTGACTGTTAACAACATTTACCAAGTATATCAGAGGCATCTATAAACAATACATAAGAAAACGCATATAATAAAGAGTATTTTTGTTTTAACCAAAAAAAAAAAGAGTATTTTTGTTGGAATGGAAAATTCACACAACAGTGTTGGATTGTTGATAGATGCTGAAATTATTGGAGGATTGTCAGCAGGAAAACCTAGATATGCATAGGTTAATCTTAATGCTTTGTTGGTGTAAGATAAAATTATCTTCCCCTCAAAATAGAACCCAAAAAAAAAAGTCGTTTTGACTGGTGCAAACCAACTCCATCATACCCACGCGTAGAAAAGTTCCATCTCTAAGTTAATCTACGGACATCAATTAATCAAGTAGTTTTAAAAGCTATGCCATAAATTGAACAGGGCACAAAATTATGAATCTTATAACAGACTTGTGTTACTTAAATACCTGTGCACTACAATTGACAAAGATGCGCTGCAATGTCGATGTAGTCTTCTTTTCCTTCATGGCTTCATGGATGCATACCTAAATAAAGATGTTTTCTAAAACTAGAAACAATCAATAAAAAAATAATTAAAAATGACAAACTTCACTCATTTAGAAAATTTAAACCATTCTGTATACTATAGTCTTACAAATATGGCTATCTCATAGCAATAAAACTAATAATTCACTCCACAATTCCACATCATGAGTAACAAAGCAGTGACAGTTTTTTTTTAATCCCCCAAATTTTTAAGAGAATGAATTCCCTTGGAATTAAACAACAAAGGTGAAATGATAAATTGATAATCCTAAATGATTTCAACTTCTTTTCATGTCACAACCATGATGAGATCAAATAAATAAACTCGAACTCAGCTCCGGTGCCGGAACTAAAGCACATTTCCCGTAGTTATAGATTTCCTTATTATTAGACACCATTGATAGAGCAACAATTATTACCAGTCAAATACATGCATTGAGATAGCATAAAATTGTTGCCAGATTATCAAATTACAAATAACCCAAGCATAATCGTTGAATCCAATTAGAAATACCTATAATTATCATATTTCTTCAAAATGCGGACAAAATCATACCAGAGTATTGAATTCGAATACCCTAGTTTGGGATCAATTCAATCCATTAACAATAACAAATTAAGAACTTTGTCAAAAAAATAAATCCAATTTTAACAATTAATCACACAATTCAACATCAGTCGACCTCCAAAATTATCGAATCATCAAATTAAAGGATCAATTATAGAAATAAAATAAATTGTCTGAAAACAACATGAAAATCATCAGAAAATAGAATTAACTGCAAATAATTATGAGAGAATTACTAACCTTGGAAATTAGGAAAAGCAGAAAGATCGATTGAGAGAGATGACAATGGAGGTTACATATATTTTTTGTTATTCTGGTGCACACAAAACACAATAGAGTTGAGTTGAAGACCTTAACCAGGTTGGAGGTAAATTACTCAGATTTCTGTTCAAATCAATAACATAATACTTCATACGAAGTATTAAAATAGACATGAGGAATGATACGTTAATTTTTGATGTATTTTTCCATTTTTTGCTAAAATGTTCTTTGAGAAGTTAGGTATAATATAACTAGTAAAAGTATTGTGTAGAACGGACTTACGTGAGTCCGATTATGAAACAGAAAAATATCTAATTCTTGACGAAAGTTAACTTATTCCTGACTAAAATAATTTTTATTCATGACTAAAAATATCTAAATTCTGACAAAAATTAACTTATTCTTGACTAACAAAATCTTATTTCTGATTATAAAAAAAAAATTGTTTTTTTCGGGTTTTAATTGTCAGAAATTAGATTATAATAGTCAGATATTAGATTATAAAGGTATTAGATTAAATGTATTAGAAATTAGATTATAATAGTCAGGTATTTATATATAAGTATCGGATATTAGACAATATTGATCATACTAAAAAGATGAAAACAATACTTGGAGAACAAAACTAGAAATGAACACGGAGCACGGAACCCGAGATCAAATTTGCAGGAAGGAAAAAAACAGCTAATGGAACCCATTACCACACCAATTTCAATGACAATATACATAATCACCACACAAATTAAAATCATCCAAGTAAACTAAGTACTTGTATAACATTATACATACAGTATCCCTCAAACATGATGCAAATATAAAAAAACTGTAATTTCAAAAGACAAATTAGTACTCCAACAACAAGCCTCGAGACTTGATATGAACAAATTTTTAGCCCAGCAACAAAAGAGAAGGGAATGAAACACTGAGAAGCGACGCAACAACACTGAGAATATCCTTGGTTATTTCCCTCAAAGAACTGAGCCTTAGAGGTAGGAATTCGGGTCTTTCATTGATGGGTTGTTCGGGTTTGAATTCGGGTTGCTGGGTTTTCTTGATGACGGAAAAGGGCATGAAACGATGGGGGCGAAGGTGGTGGTGGTGGTCGAGACGCCGGAGATCGGCAGAGACGACTATGAAATGGGAGGGGATGGGTGTGTGCATTATAATCTGGACTCACGTGAAACGGTCTCACACAAAACCTTCTCATATAACTATTATAATATTATATTATACAAATTTTGTAAATTACTATTAAAAAAATGTATCAATTTTCAAAAACTACTCAAATTACCACCTATTTCAAGATTGCGGTGGAATTCTGTTATGGGGACCCATCCAACGGCTAGTAACGACTATATCTAAGCATTACAATCAGTCATGTCTTTACTCCACCTCCCCCTTAAACCAGTTTATTGAGTACAAGACAACCTAAAACCAAAAGAAAACAACTAAAAGAACCAAAAGCTTGCTATTTGAACTGCCACTACTACTGACCATCTTCTTTCTGTTACCACTAAGAGTTGTTGGGTAGGGTACACATAAGAAAAATCCACCAAAATTTTGAAATGGGTGGTAATCTGAGTAGTTTTTTAATTTAAGAGGTGGTAAAATAAAAGAGCCCTTTCCCTAAATAATGCTAGCAAAACACCCAATTCCCAAATTACGGTCAATCTTTTATTAATTCCCATTATACCGTCCACGTCACCGGTTCAAGAGAATTTTATTGTTTTACGGTTTGAATGGAAAGCTGCTACTTGAAGTAGCGGTGTTCATTGAAAAACCGCTACTTCAAGTAGCGGTTTATACTTCCTCAAAACCGCTACCTCAAGTAGCGGTTTCTTGTTTAATAAACATCCCCTGCCATTTATTCAAGCAGCAAGGATTTCTGCCTCAACTACGAAGAACGAACACCTCCACCTGTGCTCCTCCCCTACAGCCCTACTGCCGCTGGCTTCTTGCCACCCTACTATCGTCGTTTTCGCCCCCGACCTCGTCTTGGTACTGCTATAAATTAGGAGTCAGATACGCAGATGAAGGGTTATTTTATATTATACCCTAATTTTGTATTACCTAATTAACTAGTTAATTTTGTAATTATTTCAATTCACATAATAAATTTGACAAATAATAAGCATTGCTTTTGGAGATTTTATATAAATATACAGTAGTGGTGAGTATATAGCAAGAACAGCAAGAATTAAAGCTTGCGGCTGGTCTTCATGTTAAAAAGCAATGCTTTGTTTTGATATAAACCGCTACTTGAAGTAGCTGCTTTCAATTTTGGAAACTGCTACTTCAAGTAGCGGTTTTCTGAGTATCAACCGCTACTTGAAGTAGTGGTTTATAGCTGGACCGATAAAAAAAATCGGTTTATTTCTTTTAGCTTACGTGGACGGTATAATGGGAATTAATAAAAGATTGACCGTAATTTGAGAATTGAGTGTTTTGCTAGCATTATTTAGGGAAAGGGCTCAAAATAAAATAAAAAATTAAACGGGTGGTTATTTTAAAAATGGATACATTTTTGGGTGGTAATTTAAAAATTTTCCTAATATTATTTCAAATATTTTATACGTATCTTTTATAGTAAATATATTCCTTTTATGTATTACTTTGTTTTCCATATATATTACTTTGTATGACAAATTCTTAATACATCATAATTTTTTTTCATTCAATTGACTAATATAATTTAAAATGATGAATCTATTAAATAAGGCAAAATTGGCATATAACACGAACTTTTAACAAGGTGCATATAACAACATGAACTTTGACTAGTAGCCGTAACAACACCAACTTCTTCATCGGGTGCACAAAATATCATAAGTGAAACCTAGGATCGGAAATTTTATCGAATATTAATATTTTATTAACTTTTGAAAAATTTTGATATCATATTTAGTCCTGAAGGTCCAAATTGATCCAAGACCTTAACCAATACATTTTTATATCACGCAAATCGATATTTTTTTTGTAATTTTTTTTGCTAAATTCGATCTCAAATTTAACCTCAAAAATCTAGTTTGATAATTTTTTTCCTGCATAAAATTTGAGGCACGCAATACCAGACGATTTTTTATGATAATAAAATATTAGATACCATGTCTTCATCAAATCAAGCTTTATTTATGATATTTTGTACACCTAATAAAGAAGTTTGTGTTGTTATGTCTACTAATAAAAGTTCATACTGCTAGCCTGCTACTTGCACCTAGCTTGTTAAAAGTTCGTGTTGTTGAGGCCAATTTCGCCACTAAATAATAGATTTGTACTACACAAATTATTATTAAATGAGAATTTTGATTTTATTTTTTAATACTTTAATTGGTTTCTCGCCTAATTCTAATATGAATAGCTTAATAAAAATATGAAGAGAGTTTAGCAACATAGCATCACATTATAAACACTATCTATGCATGTAATCATGTAAGATAATTTGATTTAATTCTTTGTATTTGTATCTCCAATACTTTCATATAGTATCATAATTTAGGGAAAACATTGACTAAATATCAAAACGGGGTTATCATTCCTGCCCATTAAGTGTAACACACAATTTTAAATACTTACTAGTTTTGTGCCCGTGTGATGCCTTATTCAAATTTTCTACTCATGGGTTAATAATCACTTCACAATTATACTTGTCCCATTGTCTAACACTGTGATCTCTTTTCATTTTTTCTGAACATTTAAGACTTAAGAGAATGGTTATATATAATAACAGGTCTCTTTGATTTTTTTTTCTTATGTACCTTTCTAGATCCGTCATTTGTATAGAAATGTTGGTATTTAATTGAAAATAAGATTCTAAACCAAAAGTTTTATTGAAAATAAAACTCTAACATAACTTTTTTTTTATCCTATTAAAACATCCAAATTTTTTGAAAATAAAACACTAAAATAACTTTTTTTTTTAATCCTAGCTATTGAATCTATCCAACTCTTTTATCCTATTCTACCAAAAAAAAAAGAAATACATTCAAATAAATCCTACATGTCATATTCATAATTAATTGTCACCTACGTGGTGCAACACTTGGCGAAAAGTTGGAACGCCAAGTGTCGCTTGCCGAATCTATTCATATAACTAATATATAAAGCTAAACTTTTAGAATAGTCACGAGATAGCGACACTTGACGTTCCAAATTTTCGCCAAGTGTCGCACCACGTTGAATAAATTTAAATAGCCTTCATAGGATAAAAAAATTAGTTTAGAATTCTATTTGGATAGAATTTTAGGATAAAATTGTTAGTTTAAAGTTTTATTTTTGATAAAATACCAATATCTCAGATGTACAAATTGAATTATAATTTTATTCAAAAAAACTATTAGATTATAATTTTTAAAAATAATTGTTTCGGGGTTTTTTGATGTCCTGCGGGAGAGTTACAATTCCGAGACTGGAACCGGACGCCTGTACCTGCAAAATAACGGAGACTCCTGTGAGCTCCGCCTCCAACGGTCAAGTTAGTACCTGATTAAGGAGTAATTAATGCTGAAATTAAAGTGATTTGGTCTCTCTAGGGGAGAGTGTTTAATGTAGGTAATCTGCTTTGTTAGCGAGATCAGCCGGTTATTACTGTGCGTAATTAATGTGTTTTTTCCGTAATGTTTCCGTGTCTTTTCTTTAATGAGGATTAAGGGAGGTATTTATAACCTTGGAAAACGTGCCCATCCTAGGTTTAGGTAAACCTAGGGCCGATTGGGCTTCCCTCGGAAGTTGGGCCTGGGTGGCCGGTTTCTCCATTAGGCATGGAGTATGCCACATGTCGTGACATAACAGGTCCAAGGTGGACGAATAAGCGCGTGCCACGTGGGAAGCCCTGACTGTTCCAACTGGGGGACACTTGGCAGGACCTGATTGGTCCACGTGGCGCATTCCGATTGGTAGGAGCAAAATCCCCTAATCATTTGCCCCTCACAGGTGGCACGTGATTGGTCACGTGTTACCTGTGACAGGTGTCGCACTGTAACAGGCGACGGCCTGCTACAGGTGTCAGTCGGCGAAAGGACGAGAGATTTTCCCGCCCAAATTTTGAATTCTGAAAGTGACCCTTCGCCTTCTCACTTCGCCTATATAAGGGAGAGTTGTCTTGAGTCATTTTCACACTTTGAGAACTTTTTGAGAACATTCGGACCCCTGAACTTGCTCTGACATTTTGGACCTTTTCTGCCTTCCGCCTGTTCTGACAAACCGACTGCACCGGATTTC